GTAAAATCCTTTTAATATGATTTCACAATACGCTATCTTACTTGTCAGTCTCTGCAAGTTGAGGTATATTGTTTATTTTTTGTTTTTTAGGGCGGCAACGCATTCGTGACTTTTGAGTTGCAGGTGTCCATGGGCGGCGGTAGTTGCTTAACATCAGGTGACCCTCTGCTCGTTTGCCCCCTTATGACATAAAAAAAATTTATCATGCTTGATATCCATTTACACAAACTTTCTATATCACTGAAGATATGAATAACACACAAAAAACACCAAAGTGATGATGATAATCAAGGAAATAAAGATTAAGAGTAGTAGGTATACCTACTAATATTTCGTCTTACTACTAAAAATACATGGGAATTATCAGCAGTTAGGACTTTTAGTGCATATGTCTGTCTTGCAATTTTTAATTAAATCTTGTTTTTGCAAATGCATGTAAATTTCTTTCTCAAACTAAAAATCGGATTAGATACATTAAGTAATGTAATTATATATGATGATGTATTTAAAATAATAATCATTTTTTCAATGAGGTATACATATACACGGTGATTTTGAAAGCGTTTTGGAAACGAAATATTTGAATTTGGAATCATCTATAGTACCAATAAAAATGATTAAATCAATTGTAATGTTGTCTAAAAAAAAGTTTCAGTTTTAATATTCATTTTTACGCGATCGACTTGGAAAGTAGTAATGGACTGATCGTTCATTCATTATCATAAATGAATGAAACACGTCCGTGGGCGTTTCGGCGGCCGCTGCGCACCGCCGACGCTAACAGCAGCTGACAAAACTATACCTATAGGCGCGAGCTAGCGAGTACTTACGTAGATAGACTCCAATTTGTCCTTCATACTTTACACGGGCTTAGGACCGTCAGAAATACCTATTTTATTTAAACTTCTTTTCGATTATTAACCACGATTGTTCTTTTCACAACAAATCAATTTATCAACGGACTGTAGGTATAAATATTTCAGGCGTATTTAAAAAATCGGAGCTATCTACAGAATAATTAACTTACATACCTATTTACACTATTTACAGTTCTCTGTATCGAAGGAACTGCTCAAAATGGAGTCCGCTGCATTCAATACACAAACGTCCACGTTTAATGCAATTGTTTTTTAATTTTCTTAATGTGTCTCTATCACTTTTCACTTTAAAGCGTCCACTATCGCAATGCGTAAATTATCACGGCTTTCATATTCCCGTGTATTAACAAGTCTTTTTATTTCCGACCATAAGAAAAAATCCAGGGGCGTTAAGTCCGATCACTAAGCTCATTGTCCAGGTATGCACGCACTACACTCCGGCGAATAATAATTAAAACGTCCTTGACCTTGCGCATGAGTAGGCGCACGAAATTGTCCGTGGTCGAGAAGACGTTGGGTTGCAGCCAAGATGGTAGGTGTGGAGGGAATTTGAGGGCTTTCAATTCCACGTAGCCGTAGTGCATTTAAATGCTCCGGCTTGGGAATACAAACGCCGAGCCTCTTCCAAGTTGTAGTTGGCAGTAGCGTACAGCTGTACCATTTCCAAGAAGTATTCCACGTTTGAAAATTCGTACTGTCGACTCATTTTAGCGCTAATCAATACAGCGTGCCGTCACGATGTTATGGTATTACTGACCGACTGACGATGACAGGTGAGCCCCGCGCATGCGCCTACGGGGCAGACGTCATTGGTTGGACGACTCCGGCGCAACTCGGTAGCTTTGTTTTTATTGGCGAATACGATTTGATGTGACTCGATATTAAAACGCATAGTATTTCTATTCGTAGTATTTACCTACGTGTGATTGAATAGCCTACTACTACTGGTTCTGACTTTTTCTCTGTAAACGATATGAATATCGACTTTGATGATAAAAAAAAAATTATTTTATTAAATTAACGTTATATATAGCTTCTGTTACTGATAAATAACTCAAAATTTTCTTTTCCAAAACGCTTTCAAAATCACCGTGTATATTTTCTTATACAAAACAATTGTTTAAATCTAAAATTTCTAACATATTGAGTGGACACTGTAAATGATTACCTAATTTTAAATTTGTGCTGTTTTATATTTTAGACTTACACATTATTAAGTATTATGCTATGTCAATTTTTCATATATATAGTTTTGAGTTAACCAGGAGAACCTGTTATTAACCATAGTAGCTGTTGGTTTTCAATAAAATAAAATAAATAAAAATGATAATACATTATGATGGTATTTACTTTAATATATACTATATGACTTTTTAACAACTAAATTATTAGATGTATTTTTTTATGTATTCCTAAACCCGATTTCTTTAGATACGTTTTTGACTGGACTCCCTGAGGTCATCTTAAACGGTCCTCTTCTACTTATTTAGCTGCTGTAATCTTGATTATGCTTTACAAGTTACCGGAATTTAGAGTAAATTCAAATAACTTGTACAGCAAGTTAAAAAATAAGCAGTTAACTTTAGATTGCCTAAAATTGGCAGGGACGCATAGCCGAAAGACTAGGCTGCTGGGCTATAATTACTCTTGATCATAATAATGTGCTATAATCGAATACTATGAAATTACTAATGTAAATTTATTATATACCACTATGATATTGAGATAAATCGACAGATAGAACGTCTTCGGTAATCTATAAATAAAAATAACTCTTTTGTACCTTATGAATACGCTTTATTTTGTTCTTCAATAACGTGATATACGATGGTAGTAGAATACTGATAGTTTAAAAAAATTGTCCAAGCCAGTAGAGCACCTGCATCTTACCGCACAGCTGCTCACTGCAGCTGGATAGCACAGCTGTCGGATAAACGCACGCTTCCCACAATACCGAACAAAAAGGACCTAAGTATTCGTATTTTTGCTATTTTACATTTCTACAAGATTTGCCAGTGGTTTAGCTCGGGCTACTAACATTACTTTTGGCTTAAGAGTACCTACACAAGTACTTTTCCGTACCTCTGATAAAATGTCCTTATACCTTTGTCCTTATAGATCATCGGTTAGGATATAAGGTGTGACAGGTGACAAGCGTAACAAATAAATATAGCCACAGTCATGATATTTAGTACTGCATTTATTTTGAGTTTTCAAAACGTGTGCAGTCATTACAATTTCTTTCCATAATAAATAATTAGAAGACTTCTCCAGTATTAGGAACTATTAATTTCTAGCGATTAACGCTATACCAGATAATATAAATAGTATAAAATATAACTTTTATAGGCAGGTTTCTATTTCATTTATTAATATTGAAATTATTAAGCATTATCTTACCTAGTTAGTGCTGCTTTACATATATGATACCTACTCCTAAACGGGTTATGAATACATCTTGTTCATGTATCAACCGAATTTGAAATATTTAACGTATAGGGAACCAAACAGTATGTTTTTTAACTAAACCACTTTTTGAGGTAATAGGTGCACATCATCATATACTTAATAATGCTAGGGGAAAAAGGGGTAATGAGTCACTTAAGCAAGAATTAATATGAAACACAAAATATGTATATTTAAACTTTATGAAAAGCAACTCTTATGCTAGTTTAATTATTGTACTATCAGCTTCAGATAGTTTTTGGAATAACATATTAATAGCTATCAAACTTTAAAAAATATATCTTCGAGCACCATTGTCCACATTAAAGGGGAATAATAGTCACCTTAGTGACTCTAATTACCTAGTGACTATAATTGACTAATGAGATTCAACCTACTCGTATATTAACAATTGTTGCATACGTAACCTCGTGGCAAATCACACCCTGTGCAGTTTGCATGTGTCCACAACCGGTAATAAGTGCTCTTCTGTACTACAAAATAAAGTTGCTACAGCCTAATTCATCACATACTAAGCAGTAATAGAGATCGTCGTCATCACTTATCTGATTAAGACTAATATCTAATTTTAAGGAATCTTCGTTGCCCTACTTACTTGAATGGCTACGATGCCTTAAAAATCAATCATTTTTAAAAGTTTGTTTGAAAAAAACTTTTTCTATCCCTGCTATGATTGCAGGCAGTCGACTAAGGCGTAAATATTTTTGTTTTGACTGCTGATGGCAACTTGAAAAGGGTATATAAATGGCTTGCATGCTTCTGTGACAGCTGAATATGATGAAACTGATATCATTGTAGGAACTTTCATACCTACTCATGTTCTGCAAAATAAAGTATTGATTTGATTTGATTTGCCTAATAAACATCTAAATCCTGCGCTGCGCGTCGCCCGACACTCACTGGTTTATTCATATAATTAGGTACTTAACTAAAATTATCTAACTACTTGCAACATCGTACGTTTACTTTCTCATAGTAAATGTAATTAAAAATATGAATATATTTTAATATTTAACTAATGAGTAAATAACAAAACATATTATCTGAGTGTGTTATCTTTTGATCAAACCCATTGGCTTTTGCCGTGGTCTCGCTTGCATCAACGTTAAGTTTCAATATTTTTTCCTGCTGCAATCTATCTTTGTCGTAAATTTCATCCAGATCATTTCTTTTTTTTTCCGTGCGGAAATCCCCTCGGATACCACCTATCGGTGGCATGTCGGACTCGAACCGACTAAAACCGAACGCTGTCTCGGGTACTAATAGCCGGGGAACCAGGTATACCCTAGAAAGGAAGTCCCTGGTGCCCCGACATACCTCGGGCCATCTACAACAGGTAGACGATCCCCCCCGTGTGGGAACCCCATGTTCCCTCTGCTCCCTGGAAGCGAGCGTGCTTCGCAAAGCGCTCGCCGCCACCCCGGTCTGCTTCTGCTAGGGTGACAGATGGCCTCAGATCCAGATCCCCTAAACCTGATCTGATAAAGTAAGATGCCTTTACAAATATACACAATTTTCAAACGGAATTCTCAAAACTTTTAATTATAGCATAGTTAAGACGATTAACGTAACGTTAGTTGTAGGTTAAACTGATACCAATTAGTCAATAAGTTCAGCAGAGAATAGTGTCGTATTTCATATTTCATTTGTACTTACCTGGTTTATCTTCGAAGATAATAATGTTTTCCATAAGACCAGATTCTGTTCCGTTACCCTGTAAGAAGTGCTTTCCAAGTGGTGTTCCTACTTGCAAGAAACATCGACTCCAATCAACACTACTACTGAAGTTACCGTATTTCGTAGTGTATATTTCTCGTTCCTGGTTGAATATTTAATATTTTATTTAATTAATTTTACGTAAATATGGCATTAATGTTGGGAAATAAGTGTATAATGTACCAAATTAGATAATTCATTTTTTTTGTGTCCGTTATTGTCAGGACAAGGTTTGTATGAAGTAAAATTTAAAAAAAAAATTAAATTTTATTTTTTAAATCTCATTATTATGAGAAGTGAATGAGACAGAAGATTGTGAGAGATCTATACAATATTACTACCCGACCCGGCAAACGTTGTTTTGCCATATACGAGCACATTAAATTTTTTGTCAAAAGAATTAGGGGTATGAAAAATAGATGTTGGCCGATTCTCAGACCTACCCGATATGCACACAAAAATTTACGATAATCGGTAGAGCCGTTTCGAAAGAGTTCAACCACGCACACCGTGACACGAGAATTTTATATATTAGATAAGGAGGTAAAGTTTGTATGTTCAAGGTAATCTCAAGAACGACGGATTCTTCGAACGGATTGGATATCCCTTTTATCGAGGAAGGATTATTATATTATATATATATACATATATATATAATATATATATATATATATTAAAAAAAATGAAATGAAAAATGTTGCAAAAACGGGCAAATTATTTCCTAACGAAGTTGTTTCATTCAGCTAGTTATATACCTATAAATTTAATAGGTAATTAAGTTCAATAAGATACTAATTTTGCCGAATTCATTGAATAGTAGCAACACATTAGCTTGTTTATCACCAGGAAGACAGGTGCTTGCCAAGCAACACAATTAATTAGGAAATCCTCCAGTCTTCAAGCCAAAAGCTGACTCTCTCGTTTTATTGACCTAAGGTTAGGTACAAATTATCATTTCGTTGTATGAATCTCTTTAATGTTACTTACCATCTCGGTAGTTGCTCTAATGTGAACTGTAAAGCAATCAATAGCTTCTGGCTGAGTAAATACTGTCATCCAGTTTCCAACCAAATCAGCCACATCTACACTTGGACTTTTTTTGTACGCTGGACATATTTCTTTAAGCTTTTTGGTTACCACTCCCGATGTATCGATATTTTTCATCACAAGAAAAAATGTAATATAAATTAAGCGAGCGCTGTAGCCCATTTTACTGCAGCTATGACGAGCAATGCGATTCAATTGAATACTCAGAAATAATTAAAACAATATATTTAAGCATCGCACATGCGAATTCGTTATGAGAAATCTTCTGAAATAATATTTTTGATATTTAATCCATCTCCTGACCGAGCTTCAAAATATTATCTTTATGCAGATGTGTCATATTCGGCGTTATACGTAACATCTACTACCGACTTACCTACTCCTCAATAGAGGCTACATCCAGCGTTTTTATTGCACTATTATTTTACAATAGATGTGAGTATATGAATTGAGAGAACAAAAACCGTTGCAATATTTTATTTGAATTCCACTGCAGGTGTAGTGCGACGATCTTTCTAACAGACTTCAAAAAAGCAAAATGTTCTCATTTCGGCTGCATTTTTTGTTTGTTAGTGTAGAACTCCGTCATTTACGAACCGATTTGTAAATATATTTTTTACGAGGGTGCACTTCTATTTTGGTTCCCATCGAATTCGAAGTAAAAATAGAAAATTAGAGAATAGAGTATATTACAATTCAACATGATGTACTTAGGTGCTTTAAAGTCGGTGATATATTTTAAAAGTTAATTATGTCACGATAAAGTTTGATTTATTTTATTATTACAGATTTGAAGTAGTCTAACATTAATTATTTAATATAATTATTTAGTTATCTCTTTCCACCATGTTTACTTTTTTCACTCTATGTATGTTGCTGAGCGCCCTTCACGATATCGATAGCAAACTAATTTATGGATCAAATCGATATCGATGCTAATTAAATGTCGAAACTCAGGTACAGAACAGTTAATAATACAAACACAGATGACTACTATTCACAACACAAGTCACTTCTTTAAAAAGAAACAAGACATTTCAATTGATAGGTACTTAGATGGGTCTATGGACTTCGGTCGGAACGAAGTTCTTAATGCTTTTTGGTAGACGTTAATAAGACTATACTACAGAACATATTTATATGCAATATCTTTACAATTTACATAGTATAAAATAAAGCGTCTTTTTTCTTAGCGGATTTTAATGCGATAGTGATTCAAGAGAAACGATTATATGTTTAATTCATGCATATTATAGTAGATAAAAGCCGAGAATTTCAGATTTGTCACAAAAACATGTTTTGTGCTTATATTGCAAGCGCTGGCTAATGCCTACGAGATAGACCAAAATAATGTACCACGGAATTGTATATCTTAAAAAGAAGTACATAAGAAACAATTTTATAAAAACTTTATTTTTATAAAATTGTATAAATTTCTATTTTTAGTACACTAATTATAATTATATACATATAATTATAGGTACGTAGTAGGTTGAACTACATCATTTAAGTCGCAAGAGGTAGCGTCCTATGGAAAACGCCACCCTTCAAATGTTATTCCTGTTGATGCGAACTATTGTAGTTTGAATATAAAAACTGAATCAAATAGAATCCGGCGAGTTCCCGGCGATTCTATTTGATTCAAATTTTAGAAAATACTTACTATACCCTGCCACGCTATACATACTCCACATTGACACATAAGTAGTATTAGTAGCATCTACATTGCACCAGTACGAGCCGTGTGCGTTACCCCAGCAAAATAATGTCGAAATTGGTCATTTAAACTTTATAGATAATTAGTTGCTCCCCTTCTGTAATTGTTAGGCACATTTTTAAATTTGTTTCACTTAAACTTTTTTAGTTATTTCAAAAAAACATTTCCTGCTGGGGTAACGTTTGAAACGTTACCGCAGCCAGACATTTTCTTTTTTAATTGTAATATTGAAATAAATTTTAGCTAGAGAATTAGTTATCTGGACTAGGTAAATGTTACAACTTATTTGGTATTTGTATTTTCTTCGGCTGCGAAGTTATTCGAAATCCTGCTGGAGTAACGTTTGTGGGTTTGCTGGATCTCTGAAACGGGTAAGCGGATTGTAACCATCTTTTGTACATAACTTCTTAAGGATTAGTTTTAATTTGTTCGACAATAAAATCACAAAAATAATGGACCGTTTAAAAATTAATTAGGTACGTATGAAAACACTTCAATACGTCCTAACACTTTAAATGAGACCTCTAAAGACTTACTTCAAACGTTATTCTATTGCTTGAAACTACCTTCAAATGTATACGAATTTTCGTAAGAATACTATAAGTGACTAAAAAGTTATGATGAAATGTAGCTCTCCACGTTCACAATCACAATGTGTGCGGCCTTTTTTGGCCACCGATAAACCTGTGTGTGGATATATAAACTGAATGTTATGCTAATAATTAGTTGTTTAGTTCAGTTGTCTACCTGTAGAATTTCAGCGTCGTACATATAATATTTTATGAGATAATTAAATAAAAGTCATTAGAAGGTGCAAGTCCGTGGTAATCCGACCATGTTTAGGTGGTTTTAAAAAGCGATCACCCAGTACATTGCGCTGTCTTTTAAAATGTTTAGTGTAATACACCTTACGATTTCGGTACAGTTGCGTACAGTGTTAAATACATTCAATATTTATTCATTATTATTACCTATTATTTATTTTGTTTTTTCCCCTAATTGATCTTAAGCACTAGTTTCTTTACTTAAAATTTCTTTAGTCTTTTTTAGTACCGGAGCTACAATCAACAGAAAATCTGCACTGGTCCGCTAAAATTATAAATATGTAAATACATGTATGAACGATTCACCTGACTGCAATAAATCGAAAATTTAAACCAATAAGAAATCGTTTCATTTCTTTGATTTTTTTTGTAAAGAAATAACACTAAAGTAATTGTATTTTATTTTGGGGTGTATAGAGCTTAGACTTGAATGCATCAAAATATTTAAAGCAACAAGTCATCTACAATAAGTTAATATAGACCGAATAGTAGAAGAATACAGTTGTAAATTAGAATGCATCAACATTGCATCGCCCAACAGTCGTATACCTCGTAAGAGTAGGTAATATTGTTCTGTGGTCTATACCGAGAATTATCTATACCTATGTACCTACCGTTAAGCGTTGAGCCCGTGACTGTTGATTTCTGTTAAAAACGAACAGTTGTTGAATGATATTTTGATATAATAACGGTAATTTAATTTATCGAGTGAAAGTGATACATTTTTATAGATAAAATTATTGGTCAGATAATATTTGTCAATCAAGAATCGCTGATAATACATCCTTCGCTAGAACGCGGGAGGGGAGGGGCGAAGGGATACTTCATTGTTTGCAATTTGCATCTAGTGCACTAAACTTGACCTTGACTTGTGTTGTAAAGTACGTGTGCGCTTCCGCTTTCTATTTTTGCAAATATTTATCTATTCTTGAGAGTTCTTCAATATGTGTGTACCTAATTACTAATAATGGGCATTAATGCTAATTCGATTCAATTTAAGTAATTGTCAATTCTTGTCTTAGGATATTAATTACTAATGCTAATATTGAAATTTCGTTCAGGGTGAACAAATTAAAAACGATCATAACTTGTAGGTAGGTATATCACTTATTACTAATTTTACATAAATAATTTATTTTATTATAATTTAACTCACCGCGATTTTGTGATCAAATATTTTATTTTCTCCAAAATTATTACAGAAATATTGCAATACAGAGTTTGTTCGCGATATGCTAGCCTAAGTCGATTCATGACTTAAAAAAATCCCCTTCTATTCACAAAATACCTAATTACAACGCATACGTCACACTCTTCAAAACTTAAATTACCTATACCTACCCTAAAATTAAACTTCAATTAACAAATACTACGCAGGTACCAATTCTATGAACAACTATAAACAATTCACCTAAACATTACGAGAAAACAAAAGCATTCAAAACAATACCTAATCTCCCGGCTGATTACTAATTAAGTATGCAATAAACAATCCTAAATAAAAATTATTTAAAAAACATGTAGTTTTTTGTAACACTTATGTACATATCCGTAGTAAACTTGCAAATAATATCCTACATATTTTAAAAGCCAGCACAATGTACTGGGTGATCGCTTTTTTGTAACCACCTAAACATGGTCGGGTTACCACGGTCTTGCACCTTCAAATGACTTTTATTTAATTATCTCGTAAATTATTAAATGTACTACGCTGAAATTTTACAGGTAGACAACTGAACTAAACAACTAATTATTGGCATAACATTCAGTTTATATATCCACACACAGGTTTATCGGTGGCCAAAAAAGGCCGCACACATTGTGATCGTGAACGTGGAGAGCTACATTTCATCATAACTTTTTAGTCACTAACAGTATTCTTACGAAAATTCGTATACATTTGAAGGTAGTTACAAGCAATAGAATAACGTTTGAAGTAAGTCTTTAGAGATCTTATTTAAAGTGTTAGGACGTATTGAAGTGTTTTCATACTTACCTAAATAATTTTTAAACGGTCCATTATTTTTGTTATTTTATTGTCGAAAAAATTAAAACTAATCCTTAAGAAGTTATGTACAAAAGATGGTTACAATCCGCTTACCCGTTTCAGAGATCCAGCAAACCCACAAACGTTACTCCAGCAGGATTTCGAATAACTTCGCAGCCGAAGAAAATACAAATACCAAATAAGTTGTAACATTTACCTAGTCCATATAACTAATTATTTAGCTAAAATTTATTTCAATATTACAATTAAAAAAGAAAATGTCTGGCTGCGGTAACGTTTCAAACGTTACCCCAGCAGGAAATGTTTTTTTGAAATAACTAAAAAAGTTTAAGTGAAACAAATTTAAAAATGTGCCTAACAATTACAGAAGGGGAGCAACTAATTATCTATAAAGTTTAAATGACCATTTTCGACATTATTTTGCTGGGGTAACGCACACGTACGAGCCCGGGCGGATCGCTAGTTATTATACTCGTACCGCTCCGTTGCCGTTAAGCTCACAAAAACATGTTTTTTGTGACAAATCTGAAATTCTCGAATTTTCTCTACTATAATATTCATGAATTATACATATAATCTTCCTCTTGAATCACTCTATTGGTGAAAACCGCATTAAAATCCGTTGCTTAAGATCCAAGCGTACAAGGTAAAAGCCACTTTATTTTATACTATGTAAATGGTAAAGATATTGCATATAAATATGTTCAACAAGCTTTTTTACTCTTATATTATATTCTCTTATATCTTTGAAACTCGAATTTTCTCTACTATAATATGCATGCATATTGTATATGGGCGTTTCTCTGTAAACTGGGCAACTCGTTCTAAGGAAACTGTCTAGGCAACTTTTTTGCTCATAATATAATAAATTTTATTTAGGGAACAAGTATCCGTCTATTTATTCATATAGGGCAGATGAACCACAAATATTCCCATTACTTTAAAAAATATTAAGCATTTTCTGAAAAATGTATACAGGGGACTGTTGTCAAAGCCAGGGGACTGTGAACTTAAATAAAAAAATACAATTTAAGTATCGAAATTAAATGTTTTTTTATTATTATAAACTTTGGAGCTTAAGAATTAAGTAACTGAATAATAAAAAATTAAAGAATCAACTATCTTTATGTAATATTGTACTTATTATTGCACTGTAATTTTAATATTTACTTATTATTAATTAAAATCACATATATTGAAAGGACTTTCAGTACTTTGAAACTTACACTACAGAATCAGTCTCGAAAAATAATTAGTTATTTCTAAAATATAGCATAAATAGATAAAAAAAAACAGTATTTAAAGTCTTATTTTTTCTCGAAAATATCTACAGGTGAATCAAACTTGTAAAACATTCTATTGCCTTTTAAAACTATATTGGGATTAGACAGCTTCTGTACCACTTGGTCCATTGTACTGTCTGCCACATCATCATCATCGTATCTAAATAATTGGCCTTTATTATCACAGAGCTTTAAGAATGTAACCCGGATTTCGCCATCTTCTTCATCAATCTTGTCAATTATGCTCGCATATCTATATTCCATATTTGTTTTGCCAAGCAATTTCACAACAATATAATCTCCAGCTTTTTTGACTAGATCTTTCCTTGATTCTGGAGTATCTGCCATTTTTTGTAACTTTGTATTTGGTGTATCTTTAGGCTTTGGATTTATATTCTTTTTTAGTCGCGATAAACGTTTTTTGTACTTTAATACTTTCTTCTGCATTTCTTTATCTTTTTTCTTCTTTATTTTATATCTAAGCATCTTTTCTTTATTTTTATTAATTATTTCAGCAACTTTAGGTGTTGACATTTGACATGAAGTAGATACATCAGAATCTGGAGTATTGTCTTTAATAAATGAGTTAGTAATATTTGCTAATACTTTTTTCTTATTGCAATACTTGGTGCAATGCTCTTTCCACTTCTTCTTGGCATTTCGGTGTTCTCGTGGAGTCATATTCTTAACAAGCTTTCTAGTTCCCTTTTCTTTTTTCTTAAGGTACTTAAGGCGTTCTTTTTCTTTAAGTTCTTCCCTTTTCTGAGGGTTGTTTTTAATCTTCTCATATCTCTTTCGCTCTGCTTCCCTTTTTTTTGTAGAATCTCATCTTTAGTGGCTTTTTTTTTCTTTGGTGCCATTCTCAAAACAAATCTAAAATAATAACAAATATAATTAAGATAGTCCTCTGGATGCTAAAACAGTCCCCTGTCCTGTAGAGAGACAGGGGACTGTTGCCAGGGGACTGTTTAATTTGATTTCATTGATGAGTAGTACAAAATGTAATTGATCTATGCTACTTTGCTGCACATAGGAAGTATGTATCTATTGTAACAATTAAAATATTTGAAGGAATCATTAAAATACATAAATAGAAGTAAAATAATCCTTACCAGAGGACTGTTGGCTGTCAGGTTACAACGCGGCTTCCACGGAAGGACGCTCGAACACTACTAAATAAGATGGCGTTCGGGTCGTCATGGCGGCAATCGCGCAAACTTCAAACTTGTTGCGTTGCGTTACACGCATAAAAGGCGTTGTTTAACCTTTCGGCTACGCGACACGTGATTTAAAATATAGACAGGGGGACTGTTCACTAAATGCGAAGACAAAGTTTCATTGCCTTTCTTTAAATTGTAAAATAATATTTATGTAAAATAAATAGGTCTCATTGACAATCAAACAATATTGATTTAATAATACAACAATTCGATTAATTCCAATAGATACTATCTCGATTAATTTAGTCTGAAGTAACTATACTGCTTTGGTGACATGCCAGGGGACTGGTTTTTAAGAACTATAAAAATGTTTTTAATATAATAAAGTTTATTTTAGTCGATTTTTTATGTTGAGCAGCGGTAGATTAAGGTATTGATTTTGGAATTATCTACGAAATATTTACGGTCTTTTATTTTTTTTAACAAAATTAGCCTGAGACAATGAGTTGTCCAGTTTAGAGAGAAACGCCCATATATTAATCTTTAACTTGAATCACTTCCTCTATTGGTGAAAACCGCATTAAACCGCGTTGCTTAGTTTAAACGAGCTAAGCGTACTATAGCAGTGTCGGAAAAAGTCTTGTTACACATTTTTCGGTCTCGCTCTCATCCGCTCAGAGAACTTCATTCCAATAAAATTCAATAATGGGGGCTGGTTATTGGCAAGCTGAGTTCGATACGTGCTTTATCGTAAATTCTAAAGCGCTTTGTAGCGATCCGATTGACTTCTACCTACTTGAATTAGCTTATCGTGTATGAAGAGCGCGCATTTCTAACGTGTTAGTTTTTTGTTTCCCATTCAAACTTAGTTAATTCACCAATTAGTAAACAAAGATTATGTGGAATATTATATTTTATTTATACAACAAGTATGTAATATAAATAAACACAAGTAGCATAGGTAGAGTATACAGTCTCATAAAAACAAAATAGTTGCCAGTATAAATCTAGAAGCAAGAATTAGGCTCCGAAGAATTTTGGATTAAATATAATAAGCATACACTGTACATATTACACATCTAAAACATACATGTAACATTTAACGTATTACTACATCAAGAATGTATCAAATTTACCAATTTTTCCTATCGTTATCTAAACTGTGAAAGACAATTACACAATATATTATGCCACAAGAGACGTAAGTAGATATAACGCGTGGCGCTCAGTATCTTCGTAGGTTGTCTAAACGCACTACATACATATACATTAAATATAAACTAAATCCAAGACAGCGCCATCCAGACTTTTAGTGCAAATACATTTTCCAGTCAAGTCAGTTGTCAAACTGTCTTAGGAGAAATATCACTACATGGTGTATGTTAACTGATCATTAATATTTTGACTCCCCGAGAAGTCATTCACTCATCACGCCTTGCGCTTTATCTCCGTTTATGTTCAAAGTAAATTCTTAAAAAGAAAATATACATAATATTAACATCGAAAACATAAAACTGAAATAATTACTGACCAATAAAAACAATATTATTGTGTAAAAATATTGGGATAAAATAATAAGTAGCCTAATCAAAATAATAAAAGTATAAAAATATTTTGTAGACTGAACAATAAGTTTGTCTTACATGGTACCTATGTTCAAAGTGCGCTGGTGGTTATACAAATACGTTCCTCGTTTCACTTACAAATTATGTTAGACTAGGCGTAAATACTTCATGTGTATTTTGGAATACTGGTTCCTGGAAATAAGAAAAAAAATTGAATTATGTGAAAAGGTAATTTACGTACATAGCGTAAAAAAACATGAGGATTGTTCTAGGGGTTTAACTATGACCTTGCTATTACACACTAAAGTGTACTGCACTAACAGTTAATGAATCGGGATATGGGATTATCAGTAAATGAGGTATTAGATTTAAAAAACGAATCGCTTTCCGCATCTTCAACACAGCCGTGTTATCGCTTCCTGTACTAATAACTTAGTTCTTTTTTAAATCATCTGTACTTCGCTCGGGTTTTTGCTATCATTCGTTTACGGAAAATTCGACGTGTATCAAATCGGCTTCATCTGGTGAACCTTCGAGACCTTGATCATGCCAATACTGTCTTAACCGACAAGTTTGGTTTACGATCGAGCTACGGTAACAGTCATGATGCTGGTTGATCGTATATTATTTAATTGATAGTTTTCTGTGACGTTCACACTGGTTAAATATTGATATTTGAAAAAGCGTTGACATTAAAACATAACATTGCTTGAAACAGCTAAACGTTAAAACGGCAAATGTTTAGTTAAACCCCCGTCTTATTCCGGTTGTCAATAATAGATGTAACTTTTCTTATGCAGACTTTTATTTAATTGAAATTTATAAGTGTAGTTACATTTTAACGTCCTTATTATTTGACAATATCGTTATAAATACTCGTTGACTAGTACCATAACTTTATAATACATGAGACATAACAGTTAGCCCATCCTTTTGCATGTAATAGAGTGGAGCCAGTGGAACAATCGAAGGTATATAATTACTTACAACAACTACTACAATAATAATTTACAGTATCACACACATTTCAAACTAATGACTTAAATATATAATATATTATGTAAATAGTCAAATGTTAACAGTGTAATATTAGAAACGTGTCGCATAAGTAGATATTAATTTAAATATTTTCAACCTTCAAGCTGCTGTGATTAACAGAGCGATTCTAAACTAGCGGTTCCTTCGTCTACTATTTATTATAAAACGATTAAAAGGTAATTCACGCCATTCCTTATCTCTTACGTTTAATAAGCAAGAATTGAATATTAAGTAATTAATATGTAATGGATATTAAAGTTTAGCTTGATATTAAAAAGGTTGCACTTATTAATAACCATGGCCAATGTCAACGGCTTAGATTCCGGCGCCAGGCAGCTCGACCGAATGTTCACAATCGCATCATGTTGCATTACGTTTTGCTTGCCGAATTTTAAGCTGAAAGTTTAAAGCAAATTCTCTTTTTTAATTTCAATAAAACAATCACATGAATACTTTTTTTTGTGCAATAAATTTAACATAAATATGTATACTACCGGGAGAGTAACTAAGTGAGTAACTATTGGAATACACCAGACAACCGTTTCAAACCTACCAAGCGTAATAGTTTACTTGAAAGATCGTAATTTCTATATTCTTATAATAATCATCATAAGTTTTATCTTGGTCAATAACATGTTATTTACGCTATAAAAAACATTTTTAGAAACGAATACTGAATAATTACAATAGTGCGAAATGTGTTTTTGTTTATTTTTTTCCCTATTTGTAATAATACCACAGAACTAGCAAGAGTTACTTAGATATTACGGTGCAGATTAGCACAATAAACATATTATATATATATATATATACATATATATATATATATATATATATATACATATATATATATATATAGATATCTCTCTATATGTGTATATATATGTATATATTGATTTATTACTATACTAAAAATGAAATTAAATATATTACTGAATTAGGTATTTAGATTTGGAATAGAGCTTTCAAATGTATCAATTATTATGCAGGCTGACTTTAAAGAAAGTGTTAAATTTTGTGACGCCCATTTTGTAAAATTCGCTTACTTAAAACCCACTGTATACAATAATAAATATTGACTAACTTGTCACCTAAATAAGTTCTATGGTGTCCTAAATATAACCATGGCTTAAGCCAAGAAAATCTAGGCCACATTTAAGCAAAAATAATATTCCAAAGTTAGCTTAAAACTGTAGCTGTGATGCAGTTATCAACAGTGGAGGGCACATTTGTTTTTAAACATCTATTCTCTTCGACTTTAAAATTAATTTGCAAAACAAATAATATATACATACATGAGAAAAAAAAGCAATAGAGATCAAATATTTTCCTATAAACTACAAATAATACATTAAATAAGATTATGAAAACCTATGTTTACACATGGTTTCATAATTAAGGAAAATATTTGACTATTCACATTATAACAAAAGAAATATATAAAATAAATTAATAGTGTCTTCTAAACACAGTAGTTTGGTACAATCTGATTAAGTGCCTATGATGGCAGCACTAAAGCAACTAAAAGTATGTCAAGTACATACTATTACCTGCTACATGAGTCAAGTTTGTTGTTTGAACAAATATTTAATAAAATATATACTAGATGGCTTATATCTGATGTTATATGACTTACACTGATAAAATAATTACAGTCGAGTTCCGGTACACGTTATCACTACCTGGTCTCGACAAATTATCGGCCTTTAAACAAAAACACCATATGAAAGTAACTTCGAATTTAAAATTATAGAGCCGCTTTAATTAACAATTCGTTTAGGAGAAGGCCATTTAACGTGTCACTGAAAATTCCTGACTATTACTAGCGACATTCCAATTAATTAATGTCGACACATGATGTGGACCATGTCAATGGGGACTGGCTACCTGTTTCTTATTAACACTGAAAACAGTGAATTTAAACTAATAATGAATTTCAATCCCTATCATTATTTTATTCAAGTGCAATCCTGAGAAATCTTGGTACTTCAAAGATAAGCAGAAAACAATTCAATTCTATCTATTGTGTGTAGATAGCAAATAATTCATCTTCAAATTCGTAAACTGTACTCACATTTTCTGCACATAGCAAGATATTAATAATTCATTTCTTTGCAATTACTTAATTTGTCAGGATTGCTACCACAATAAAGATGACCTTTCTTACAAACTAAGTTGGAATGTTATTTAAAAAATGTTCTACAATATTTTTAGTACCATAGGCTGCTTCTGAGAAAACAGTTAACATTTTTAATTAACCTACCAACTCACACACATTCTTTTCCGTAAATTTAGTGCAAATTCTCTTGCCTAGTCCTGGTTAGAAAAAATAATAATTTTAGACTTCATTATAATAAATATTGTAGGCAAAATACAAATATTCCAGGAAGATGTATAGAAATGATTCTCTGCAAGTCAACAGTTGTCCAAACCAAATTGGCCGAAAATATTAGTTTCATGAGTTATATATATGAATTTCCCAAACTAGCATAAAACCAGTTCAACCAGTAAACTAGAAACCAACCTAGAAACAATAGCTTGCCAGATAATTCAGTATTTAATCTTCACACAGTCACAAAAAGACTGTTCACTGAAACTACAAAAACAATTAGACAATGTTATAAACAGCCAACCAATAAACAATAACATTTGTTAATACTAATCACAGCATACCAGACAGAGATAATGTACCTGTCTTTACATGTGATGGAAGTGTTTATTTTTTTAGTTTAGTTTAATAACAGAATAGATCCTATGTAGCATTTTGTAGAATGTTTATAATTATGTAAAAAAAATTGTTATGTACTTGGAATTAATGAATTCAATTAGCTCCTTCAGACTTATCAAAGTGTTGCTTGAACATGAACAGAACTATGTCCATACATTGGTCTGCTCATGTATCTATTGGCCTATGCCAAAAAAATATTTACAGAGAATCATTCACATTTTTTTTTTAAACATTGGGTTATCTATGTGGGAAATGTAGTTAGTAGGAAATATTTAATAAATAACTATGAAATGAACTATGAGAAATACAATTAATGAACTATAATAAATACTTCTATAACCAAGACATTGCATCTTAACTGAAAATAAAACCTACACAAGCATAAAAGATTAAATCAATAAATAGTAAAACTTGTCATTTAGCCATAAATAAAATAATTGATAGTTTATGGCAAATTTTATAAAGTTATAATGGTAGTAAAAATTTATGTGACAAAAATATCTTATTATTTTACAATTTGAATTTAAAATTGGATGGAATTGGAAGCGACATATATTATTTCATCTCTATGATGCATCACGGTAAAGTTACTTAGTTTGAAAATAGAGCTACATATCTGTAATGGTGGTAATGGTAGAATTAAGTTTAGTCACCCAATAGGGTAGCATTAGTTCTGAATTTAATCATGCGTTAATAGGTCCTGGATCTAGTGTATCATTAGGAAATTGACACAGATATAAAATATAACTTAAATAGCTTAGTTCATCTAAAGAATGAGTAAAATATTGAACATGAATATCACATGTACTGTAAATGGCAATCAACCTCATTTAACAAAATGATCCAACTCACATTGAGTCATTTTTTAAATATATTTCAAGTCAATATCATATTTAATATTTGAATCCATACTGTTACTTTCTTTGGAATTCTAAGATTTGATCTATATATTTGTAAAATAATTGTGTGTACATATGTTTGTTATAGGTAGTCTCTAATAAACATATATAATGTAAAATGGAACGGCTGAATTGATATTAACAAAAATTTAAAAAAAAAGAGAGAGTTAAGCTCTACTTTTTTACCTCTAAGGTTTAGGTAGGAAGCCATTAAATTGACAGAATTTTATAAACCGTTCAAAATCAGTTGAATGGCTCCAATACTATATAGACTAAATAAATTATATTCATAAACTAACTCAATATAGTATCGATTAATTTAAAATATAAATCATAGCTAATTATGTTACAACATTGATAATATTATCCTCATAATTTTTTGCTATTAATTTTACTCATGGTGGTGCTCTGTTATATTTAGGAAGGGGGTTCTTACCTATTAGTAAGCCCATAAAGTGTTTATAATGATACTAACATATGAATATATCTATACAATTATATGAAAACAACAATGACAATTTTTATGCTTAAGTTTATATGGTGCATCACATCAAAGTTTACGCACAACGTGTCAGCTAAGTCAACATCAGAAATAATACTACACATTTAATTTTTTTGTTAAATTAAACTATGCAAATGAAACAATGCATTGCTGAAATCTCTTAACAAAAAATTGACTGAATTTTTACACATACAACTGTGAGCAAAACCCATTTTCTACTGATTTTTCACCTCAAAAGTGCTCTCTTGCCTGTTTATTACTGCTTTGAAAAGCAATTTAAATTTGTTTTAATTGAATATTTAATACTGTAAACAAGAAATTATTTGGGTATTATTTGTTAAAGAGGCCATTTCTAGACTTATAAAAATTATATGATACAAAACAACTAATTTCTTATCAATGTCACAATAGTCAAGTACTGAACAAAAACACTTTATCATGCATGATAATATACTTTAAATGCAATAGATTTACCTCATTGAATTTAAAATTGCAATATTCTAGATTTAACATCAAATAAGATATTCTTATGTTGTTGCATTTTTAACATTTTTAACTTACAAATTGAACATTATGAACTGTCTGGCCATTAATAGCAAGTGAATTAATATATCAAGTTTTACATGGCAGTAAAACATGAGGCAAAGTTCAATTTACATAATTATGTTAAAACAAATCTATCTGTAATATCTATCTAATCTTATTATGTAACAAAAAGCCATGTATATTGCTCTTCACATTTACACTGAGAGCTGCCTTGCTATTGTTTAATACAGCTATTTAAGTTATTCCCAAGAGCAGAAACTAAAAAGAAACCATTATTCGTAGTATAATGATCTGTCACAAAACTCCCAAAATAATGATGTACATGCTTAAAAGTTACATGAATACAATATTGACATATTGTTTTTTGAAATGTCGTCGTGTCTACTAAGTTAATTTGAAATTCCATAATTAACCCCACCTGTGTTGAGACCTGTGTTCTCTGAGGCACCGGTAGGAGGCGGTGGCGCCGGCATGGCAATTGGGGGTGCTTGTTCGCCCTTCGGTCGGCCTTCTCCGCCCGGCTGCACGGTTACGGCTTGCACGCCGTCTGAATCATCTCGCTCCAACGTGTGATAGTCACCAGACTCTTCGGGAGGACGCGGCTTGCACTTACCGCAGCAACAATTACAACAACAGCAAAGACAGCAGCAGAAATAGCATCCGGTCAAAATACCGCATACGATAAACAAAGCCTTGCACCAAGTACTTGTTACTACGAAATAGGCGTTGACGTTTTCCTCTCCAAATTGCTCAGAGATATAAAGTCCAAGAGAACCATAATTATCGTATATATTCCTTTTCGTAGCATCACTTAGTATTGTATGTGCTCGGTTTACTTCTTTAAATTTCTCAGAAGCTTCAGGATTGTTAGGATTTTTATCAGGATGGTATTTTAGTGCTAATTTCCGATAGCTCTTCTTGACATCGTCTGCGGTTGCAGTTTTCGGGACTTGCAGTATTTGATAAAGGCTATCCCCGGCTGTAGACAGTTTCCTTTTATCCATTTTAGTATAGATTACAATGCGATGGGTTGAAATAACACGAACAACAAAATAAGTTATTGCAAAACTAAGACAATCCCTGAAGAATTTACGATTTACGATATCTCACTCAGTCTACATTTTTCAACGCGCAGTGGTTAGTGTGACCGTTTAGAAATTAAAAGAAGTTACTAAACGGAATGGTAAAATAATTACTAAAACACTTTTTTCGTTTTAATAGAGATCTTCAACCTTTGGAAAACCAAATTCATTTTGGATAATTAGTCATAAGTAAGATTTTAGTCGTAAATGCCTGAAAAGTTCGTCGTTACAGGAAAGACCTTTATAAATATTGATAGCTTAATTAACAAAGTAGCTAAATGATTTTGTGAAGAAACAAACAATGCGATATTGAATGATTTTGTGACGAAACAAATTCATTCAATAGTAATCAAAAGCACTTCATTTGTAGTGTCTAAATAATCTTGTCTATTTTACATAAATAAACATATGAGTGTAACTATAGCCTGAAACCCAATTTTTTGCGAAAATTCTCTATGTTTTAAGCAGATCTCTTATTTGTTTATTTATTCTTTTTTTGCTAACATTAATCATGAATACATACAATTCAAGTCAAATCATATAACCCGCTCCGCGTCGCTCCCAGTGCAAAGTGTAGACGCTGCAACTTAGATGTAAGGCCACGACTGTGCTAATGCATTTAGCATCCCATACACTAAAGTACTAGCACTGTGTGACGTTCCAGTTGAATAAAATAGTTTACATGATTCTATTGATATCATATAAACTTTTACTGAAATCATAAAAAATCCAAGACATATACTTGATTGACTCAAAATCCCTTCTATTTTTATAAATAGTATAATGTATACTATTTTATTCAACTGGAACGTCACACAGTGCTAGAACTTTAGTGTAGCATTTTGAATAATACCCGTTCCATAGACATAAAGACAAGACGAATAATGCTATTTTTTTTCTTTCAGTACCTATGGCACGGGTATTTTCCATTTACAGTATGACTTAGTGAGTGCGCGCACGGGTGAATTTGCCATAAAAGTTTTGTCACTCTCACGACACATCTCCAAAGTGGAGTGCGCGCACGAAGAGTGACAAAACTTTTTTGAAATTTAAGGGCCTGTCCACACAGCGACTATATTTCATCGCAGGTTTTTCTTTCGTAAGATTCTGTGACACATGGGATCTAGATGGTACTGTGTGCACTGGCACAAAAAAACCTTTCATAAGTCCCAACTCAACGCCCTAAATGGGTGAATTGAATGTTCATGACATATTTTGATACGTCTGTGCATCCTAGTACTAAATTAAATTAAAATTTTAGTTCTGTTATCTATTTAGAATTGCGTCTCACACTGAACTGTATTAAACTGACAAAAAATCGTTCGAAATTTAATTCGCAGTGCGTGTGTTTCTAGGTGTATTTCTATATGGAAATATCGCTATTTGGACAGGCCCTAAGTGTCGTTTAGCTGTAAAAAAACCTACCCGCGCTATGACAATGTTACCCAGTTGTCACTAGGGATTTTCCGATACCACCTAAGTATCGATACTTACTCATTTCGATAATACTCAAATCTTTTTTCGATACTACACAAATAAGTACTCCTCAAGTATCGATACTTACTGATATCGATACTTTTTGGAACTTTTATTTTATTATTTTGAGGGTGCTATCAATGAACGTTGAAGGATAATAATTTAAACAAAATTGAGACGAAAAAAACTATTTATTTATTATAAATGTTTATTAGGCTTATTATAATTTAAACAAAAAACTTTTCAGCATTAAGATTGCCCAAAAACAGTAACTGTTCAAGGTATTTAGAAGACAATCTGTTTCTTGTTTGTGTCATTGTTGCACCGGCTTTGGAAAAAAGGCACTCGCTAGGAACTGATGTTGCAACAACAATTAAATATTGCTGTGCATACTTGTACAGACAAGGAAACACCAACTTCATGTCATCCCATTCTGCAAATGGGTTGCTTTTAAGAGAAACTACTGGATTGGATAAATAAAGAGAAACTTCATCTCCCTGATGAGATTTTTTTTTCTTCTTGTGCCCATGTGCTAACTCTTTATGATGTTTCCAAAAATCGTATTCAGGTGGTGCAGTAGATGAGACATCATCTTCTGACTCACTTGGGCTACTTAGTTGTCCGACAACCATGGTTCTAAGTTTTTGAATAGCTCTTCCGCATGCAGAGGGGTCTTGGAAATGCAGATTTTTAAACCTTGGGTCTAGAATTGTTGCAATGGCTGCATGATCGTTTAATTCAATCATCCCATACCTCCTTTTCAGCTCTCTCAATAAAACATCCTTTCATTCTTTAACGATAGCGGAGTTTGGAGTGATACTATTCAGTTCTGTAGTTAAGCAATTGAGCATTGGTATAATTTTGGAGATTGTTACATACTTTTGGCCCGATGATTCTCTTGTTACATATTCAAAAGGCTTTAATACAGTTGTAAGCTCATTCAAGGTTTCCATTTCCACTGCACTTGGCAAATTTGGAGCCACTACACTCTCAATTACAATTTCTGATATTACTATTCTTAACTTTAGAAATCGCTCTAACATAAAAAAAGTTGAGTTCCACCTAGTTCTTACATCTGCAATAAGTTTTAAAACTGATCCTGCCGAAACATTATTACGCATTTGGATTTTTCGTAGCTTATCCGACTGCACAACACTATTTTTTATCCAATTAACAATTTCTCGTACTTTTATAACAGCTGATTTAACACTGGGCAACTTTAGTGCCTCTTCAACTACAAGGTTAATAGTATGGGCAAAACACGGTAAATGTTTTTTTTCCCCTAAAGACATTCGTATGGCAGCCAACATTGAACTGGCATTATCTGATACAGCAGCACGAATTTTGGTAAGTGGAATATTCCATTTTTTCAAAATATCCAGCAGGTTTTCCGATATGTATTCAGCTGTATGTCGCTCTCTTAATGCACGAGTTGCAAGATAATACATACACATTTGACCATTTTCTACAAAATGTATGGTGACGCCCATGAATCCTACTTCATTCATTGTCTCTGTCCATATGTCCAGCGTTAAACAGAAATTGTCTATCTTGGATAATTTGGACTTACAAATAGTTATACAAGCTTCGTACTTTTCGGTAGTCATTTTCTTTAAATACTTTGCGCCAGGAACTTTAAAAGTAGGCTCCAGTTCTTTTACAAGTCGTAAAAAGCCTTCACCTTCAACTATATTAAATGGACGCATATCTTGACAGATAAAAAATATCAATGCTTGAACAATTCTGTTATACTTCGTACCACCAGCTAAAAATAAAACTCAATTTTAATACATGTAATATTAAATTAAATATTTATATTTTTTTCTTTAACACTAATACTATATGTATTAATATTATTTTGCTAATATTTAATTAAATATCTATTTATTTACCTTTATTAGATGAAATTCGTTCAAACGCATTCTTTATTGAATTGCTCAGACATAGCTCCCTTGCAGTCTCCGAGTCCATACTTGTTAATGTGGTTACACTAGAGCAATCATCACGATCTTCTGAAATTTTCGATGTTGATGCTTGGGGTTGATCATCTTCCATTAAATGCCTTGAGTTGGCCAACACTATTGTATTTTTTGAACTGAAACATAATAACAAAAATTAACACTTGATAGATCGATAATCTTCAAAGTATCGATAATACCAACTCCAACACTACCGCCATTTAACAACACTATTACACTAACAAAAACAAACACATAACCTTAAATTGTTTAAATCGTATTTATACAAAGGAAATATCTCATCACCGGTCATCAATTATTATTCATATATTATTAATATATAGACAAGACAATCACAGTACCACTGCTGCAAAACTATTTTTTATACAAATAAAATAGGTAGGAGTAGGTAGGATTTTTTATTTAACATCTTAGGAAAGCAATCGCAAAAAAAAGAAAAGTTTAGAATCCTACCTTTCGTTGGACTTATTATTTTCTTTTTTCTGTAATTTGCCTTTGTCCACAGCAATTCCATGAGTTTTAGAATGCTTGAATAAATTCGACGTATTCCCACAATACTTCACAGACTTAAAACACTGTTTACATTTTGCAATTGTTTCGTTTGTTTTGGTAAAATGTGTCCATATTATAGATTTTGGTGGTGCCATGATAACATTGGAATAAACCGATGAATTTGATGATTACAATTAATAAAATTACTTGTAAGCAATCACTTAACACTTTCACAATGGCGGAATGGCGAGATGATTTGCGAGCGGGTGCGGGTGTTTTCTTCTCTCGCTTTCGGCTCGGGCGGGCTCGGCTGAAGTCGGACGAATTCGGCTAGCCCAGCGCGAGACAACGCGTCACTCACGCCGCCACGCGACGAATACCGGTAACTCGGTAACCTGATTAGCTGACTGTTTTTGCCTCGTTTTTGCTCTCTTAGTTCTGTATGATGCGTTCTCGGTTTTTTTTATTGTATTCGGTTGTTTTGCTGATTCGATTCGATACCAAGTATTTTTGTTTCGATACCGATTATGTATCGCAAAATTGATTCGATACAATAAATACTTGGTATCGAATCAAAAGTATCGAGTACCTACTCGTATTTATTAGTATCGGAATATCCCTAGTTGTCACGTAGCTACGTGCGCGCACCTTCCTATAAACTGATTGTTAGAAAAATTATTGTATATTGTTTTAATACCTAGTTGTTTGTTGTAAGTTATTTAAATATAACAAAGAAAATGTGATCAATGTATACGTTCACATGCTGTTCTATGTAACTTTATTTTCTTGCTCGCCAGTATTAATCTAGAACTGAACTTTAGTTTCTTCTAGTAAAGTTAAACTGTTCTTATTCAATCTGACCTTCTTGCCGGAAATATACAAAAAATATTAATATTATTAAAGAGATGTTATTTTAAAAACGATCACACTTCTTGCAGCACTTATTTTGGTAAAATGTTCCTCACAGATTAGTATAATGTAGCAAGCTATGTTCCTTGTCAAATTTATCATAGAGATGGACATTTAAAATATACATCGATGTTTTTTTCGATGTAATGCATCGATCGGTCACATCGATGGTAATACGATGTATTGAGAAATACATCGATGTTTCTTAAACATCGATTATTTTCGCCATGACGTGTTTTAGGTTAGGTTAGACCAAAAAAAAAAAAAAAAAGGCCTTAAAAAAAAAAAAAAATTAATAAAAGTAGGAAATATATTTATTCAAATTCAAAATCACACAACCAACACATTTTTCTTTACATATTCCAATATTTTTTTTCAATGCCATGTAAAAACAAAAGTTTACTTAATCTCTTCCCCTTCAGTCGGTTCCTTCGTTCAATTCAGCGAGTATTTATTTAAAGTGAATTCATAATCTAGTATTTTCACATAATAAAAATCAAGTTTAATTTAATTTTCCCGCGAACAAACGAATAATACTAGTCGAACGACCTACAGCGTTCCAACGGGCGAATTAAAAGAACCCAGTTCAATAAACTATAGCTATTTGGCGGCTATACAACACTATACTCATTCATAATTTGCTTGGTCGATGCATCGAATAAAAAACATCGATATATATTCGATGTTGAAGTATTAACAATACATCGGTTTAATACGATGCATCGTTACTATACATCGAGTGTTTTAAATAAATCGATGTATATCGTCCATCTCTAATTTATCACTGTCATTTAAATGTGTTTGAAATTTTGAAACATTAAACTTATGAAAGCTATGAGGCTATGAAAGACTTGGTAGAATCCGATAAACTACGATAATATAATTACTTATATAAACAAATACTATATTAAAGTCATCATCACATTGTGTGTATTTTATAAGCATTTGGATAGACTAGATGCGACACAGTCTGCAATTTTTAATACAGGTGTAATTTCCTCAAAGCTGCAAAACGTATCTTAATAATCAGTGAATTAATCTAATACAATCAGTCTAATACTGAATTATGAACTGATCTAATTAAATTGCCGCTTGTTATTCCTAAAATCATGAAGTTTAATATTTTCAATGTATACCAACAAGCTCTTAATAAAAGGCCCTATTTGGTTCAAGCAATACAAGCTGGAGCCTTAATGGGTGCAGGTGATCTGATATCTCAGAAATTTATTGAGAAACAGTCCATAATGGATTTTCGAAGAACTGTAAAATTCGCCTCTATAGGCTTTTTTATTGGCGTGAGTATTTTTTTATTTTAACTTTTTAATATAGATAAGATTTATAGAGATAGCACTACGATGGTTTCTAACTGACTGCAAAAAGGAGGAGTTACTCAATTCGTTTTTTTTTTGGTTGTTACCCCAGAACTCTGATTTTTTAAGAACTTTCAAGAAAAATTTGCTGCACAAGAGCATATGTTAAGGAATAAAAATACAATACAAAAATACAAATACCACTATGATTCATCATGATTTAGGTGTAGTTTATGATAGGTTTAAAAATTCTTTCATCAAGTACAATAAATACAAAACCAAACAATTCAACAGTTGTTGAGTTACCAGAATTTAGTAGTCAAATTTTAATCCAATAACTTTGCCAGTATCTGAATTTATTATTATTACTAATTCCATCCAATTCTTTAAAACTCCTTTTTTATTGTAGTGCTAAGAATCTTTAACTGTTATAATTTATTTTTCAGGGACCTGCTTTGCGTAAATGGTATGGTGTTTTAAATAAACATATAGGTTCACAAGGAAAGGCTGTAGCTATTAAAAAAGTACTTATAGATCAAACATTATTCGCACCAACATTTATAGGTCTACTACTAGTTACAGTGGGTGTTCTACAGGGCAAAGACGAAGTCCACATCAAAAGTGACTTGAAAGCCAATTATTTTGACGTTCTAACTACAAATTATTATATTTGGCCATGGGTGCAACTTGTAAATTTTTACTATGTACCTCTTCAATATCAAGTTTTAGTAGTACAAACAGTTGCATTGTTGTGGAATACATACTTGTCTTGGAAAACTAATAAGAAAATACCATTAGATACTAGCTATTAGTTGTTTTAAATAAGATTGAGTGTAGTATAGTAGCATATATGTTTTGCTTGTTAAAATATTTAATGAGGTTACAGATTCTTCATGTAGAATATAAAATGCTTACTTATTAGTTCAGTCATTTCACTCAAAATTTTAAAACCCTGTCCTTTAAGAGCAATCAATAAAGATTGGAATAAAGTTTGAGATTACATTTGACAAGAAACAAAGTTGCATTCTTGCAAATTTGTTTCTGGTCTGCAAATGTTTTACTTACAAAATTATGATCAATAAGCAAGAAAGGTCTTTTTTTTTTGTTGATAATGAATAACAATCATTTTCTAATATAAATATTCAAGAAATTACAGTGGAACAACACATATTCTTTTATATTGCATTGTAATCAAAACTGTGAAATTCTTAAGCGATCAGAAGTATTTTGAACTGAAATCAGACAAAAATATTGGATTAGATTGTCTTCTTAAGTATTACATATTAGATTTTAAAAATGTCTATAGTTGTTTTTATAACGTTTTTTCAGTTTAAAGTACTTTTAATTGAGATATCTTAATTAATTAAAAAAACTGCCAGGAAAATAGAATACAAATTGTGCTCCAAGATTTGAATATTTTTTAACAAAAATGCGAGCAGTCTGAAAAACTTTTTTCTAAAAAAAATAACTTAAGTGATTGAAAAAAGCTCTAATTGGCAATGGGGAGGCTAAACTGTTAGTATAAAGTTAGTCCAGCACTACTGGTCCAGGTATCTACTGTCCTGTAGCTTTTACCACTAATAAGAGTCTAAGCCTAATAAGGTCTGTATTTGGTAAAAACCTGAAGAAAGGTCAAGGGTTGTGAAGTATTGACGCCTACCAAGCTTGTCAAGCACATCAGAAATGTTGGGAATGGGATATTTGTCACATAGTCTTTTCGTTCAGTTTGCCGGTAGGCACCTACAAGTCTCTACTTTTGTTTGCCTGTCGCGTAATTTTTTTTTTGTCACGATCCATACAGGCGAACTCCATGGTGTGTCTGAAGGTCTTATGATTCCTTTTTCCAGCATCTTAGCGATTTGGTCACTGACTTCTTTTTGGTGTACAAAAGGATACCGATAACTTTTAGTGTGAATCGGGATTTCATCGGCTGTTCTAATACGGTGCTTTGTTTTATTAGTGAAGCTAAGAGGTTCATCATCTAAATAAAATATATCCGCGTAACGACTACATAATGTTTCTTGATTAGCATTCTCCTTTGCGTTCAAATGATCGGTGCGCAAGCGTGATAAAACTTCAGTAACGCGCTCTGGGTCTTTTCCTGTGGTCATACACTCAGTGTTAAAATAAAGGCTCGCAAAGGCCGTGTAAGATACTCGTATGAAATAGTTATATCATGATTAGTCATGTATTCTAATAATCCTATCTCGTCACTAACATTCGTGACGCATTCATGAACAAAGCAATTGCACAAAGTTTGCTGTTCCACATAAATATCCCCGTTGCAATTTTACTAACTTGCTAGAATGCGGGGGTATAATTTCGTGGAGACTACTCGGGGGTTGTGCGGTCCATGGCCCTTTATGGGGCCCCAGTATGGGCGGGGGCCCTGAAGACCAGTAACGTCGCACTGCTGCGAGGACCGCAGCGAGTGGAGAGTCTCCTTCTGTGAGCAAGCTATGCTTGCGAAGGAGATGGCAGTGCGGGACCGGGAGAGGTTTAGAACTCTCCCGGCTCAGGCGCCAGGGGTCGCAGAACGACCTCCGTCCTCCATAAGCGCAGGCCTAGGGGTGACAGGTGAGGCCATCTGTCACCCTAGCAAAAACAGGCCGGGGTTGCGGCGAGACGCGCTGCGGAGCGCGTGTGTACTTTTGGAAGCACCAAGGGAATTCCCACACAGGAGGGGGTAATCTACCCGCCGTAGATGGCCCGAAGTACGTCGGGGTACTAGGGATTTACTTTCTAGGGTACACCTGCTTCCCTGGCTACTGGTACCCGAGACGGCGTGCAGTTTGTAGACGGTTCGAGTCCGACATAGCCACTTGAGAATTGGTTACTTCAAAAGGATCAAAATTCAGAGATATGCGAAAAAAAAAATACCGCCTCGGGGCTTATAAATGATTGATTTGCTCCGGTATCTACGTGTCGCGGTCCTTCTCAATTATAGTCGTGATAATAGTCAATATAATTATTATCGTCATACGCGACATCGTACTCGTCATTGTATTCAGGGTAGTAATTTGAGTCATTATTAAGGTCGTCGGTCACACTGTAATTTACTTGCCGTGATTTAAATAATTATTGGGTGACGGGTTGCCAGACTTCTACCAATCGTGTCCCATCATAGTTGGTGGAAGAGCCCTCGGCACAAAATGAGTGCCGCCACTCATAGGCTTATAGCCAGATGAGGGTGATTGCTCCTTCTTAGGTGCTAATTTAAACGTGGGGATTGTGGCGTGGCGGTGTGCGAAACATTTGTTTCGTACGGTTACGCATGTTACCAGGGGGTTGCGGCCGCAGTTGCGATTAATGTAGATCGAACCTAAATGCGGGTTTCCATTGCGAAGGTTGCAGTGATGTATGAGTCTTCGTGGGCATATGTCATTTGTGACCTGAATACATGGAATTACTTATAGGTGGTATCAGACCTGTAACTTTTGAGCCGCTCGGTTATTGCGCGCAAAACGCGTAGTGTGTGGCGCGCCGAGCCGGCGGACATTGGATCGCACGATCGGCTCGTTGCCGCAGGTACATTACGTCGTCATTGACAAATTCCAGAGCCTTTTTCATAGAATCGGGTTTCATACATCTAATACGCGATCCCAGAGGTTCTTTAATACCTCTTGATAAGATTTTAAGGTCAATTTTACCTTGGAATGTCATAGCTATATCATTGTATAGGGCGGTATCCCCCCTTTGATCAGAAAAATATGAACGAGTAATTTAAGTATGTCTGCTCAACTACTAGGTATGCCGTTAGAATTTATCATCGCGGCTGCTGGGCCAGTAATTTTATTTAAAATGCAATTAATTAAACAAACATTAGATAATCTGAAATTTGGATCATCCTTGACATGAGCCTCTACTAAAGTCAGGCAAACCGAAATAAATCTGGTTAAAACGTAAGGGTTGCCATCGAACTCCGGCACAGCCCTAACGGCCTTATAAATCTCATCTACACTAAACGACGTTTTAGGTTCACTAAATATAAAAACTAACTCTAGATCGCACAAATCTAAATTTCTAGATTCGTCTAAATCCCTATTCTTACGTACCTGTCGATTTGAGACAAGTGTCTTGCCTGATTTTCTCTGGTAGAAAATTTTGACGGAGGTACAAGGACAAGGATGCAACACTTAGGCATCCTCTGCGGGTGTAGCCTCGTAGGTTGAAGTCTTCGTCCGAAGGACGCGGTCGGCGACTATACGGAGTCAAACCAAATGACGATTTTTAGAGATTTACGCGCCGCGAAACTGCCCCGAAGTAATACCGACTGCGCCAAATATGAGTAGGTACGCCAGTCAGAGAGATAAAGGAAACCGAATTATCCTTATAACTAAATTTAATTAAAATTTAAAATGGATATTACATTTTAAATAAGTATGGTCTAGACCCGGACAATATTAGTTCCGAAGTGACTTCACATAGAAACAGGACAAACGGCTAAACCACGTTCTTCGTGTCAGCACTTATGTGGTGGCGTGATCGGGGACGACACAGGGCTGATTCGGCAGTTGACTCTTTCTAGACAATACCATTTTGTAAAATATATGGTAAGCAGAAATTGTATCACGAGGCTACTACGTAGATTCGGTGTAGGCAAAACTCGTAATTCCTCCCTCCTCAGAAGAGCAACTTCATCTTGAACGAGAATGTTGCGGGTGCTTCCTTCTTTGATTTGGAGTCCGTTGGGATAGCATATGTGACGTCCTCTGGTGTTGGCTTTATTGCTACTATCTGTGTGCGGCGGGTGACGATGATAGCTACGTGGAATGTTATGTTACAATTTTTGTTATGCTTTTCCGATGTAATGTGGCACCCGTTAATTGCATCAACTGTCATTTTGTATTAAAATTACGAGAGCTTTTATATAGCACTACAATTTGACCTTGAGCACTGACGCCCGCCGTTCGTCCACTATACCAAAATGGTATATTTTTACTTGCCTCACTTCTCGGTTTTTATGCGTTAATATTCTAAGTTAGGTATGTACAGTCAGCATCAGTTAATAGCAATTATAAATATGTAAGTACCTACTCTTGTTATGTGGTCAATATTAAGTTAGCAAGTAAGTTGTCAATATATTATATAACAAGCTATTCATTGTTAAACTTCGAATAAATTAATAATATTGAAATGAGAAATTCTTACTTAATCTTTCTTTCGCCCTATCCTTGTCATTACGTCACTGCCATGTTGTTTATTTTGATTCGAATTAGTTGATACGAGAAAATACGAATAGTAAAATTACTGAAGAACTTATACGTAAAACATGGTTTTAGAAAAAATAGAACTGATAAACTTCAGAATTTGATTTCGACGAATTTGAGATTTACTTAGAAATGTTTTTTATTAATGGTTTGACAAAGAAGAACTTACTATAAATGATCATGGCTTACCCACAGTGGGGCATGGTGGGACGCTGGCCTCACCCTGACTTACACCCGCTTTTTATGAAAAATTTAAAACATTTCATGAAGCACTGATTCTATCAAAGACCGATCATTTATCGAACATATTAAAATACTTAATGAAAAGTCTAAAAAGAGTTTCTGTGCATTGACAAGGATATCAACTGCGACATGGGGTCTATCATTTAATACATTAAAGATCATATACGG